GCACGTGATGGTTGCCGCATCGCAGAATGACGCAGAGAGACTCGCACAAGCCGTCGCTTCCAACCTTACCGACGACAAGGTATATGACACTCACTCACCCAACCCCTTCACACCTTTGGCGTGTAGTCGACGACGTCAACCTCTTTGACGTCGATGTCCACCAGCCGCGAAACCACGGCGATGGCGCCGCCCTTGAAGCACTCGGTCAGCAGCAGCTCGAGCTCGGTAATGTGCTGGGATTGTCTTGAACGTCTCTGTTGAAACGATACTGTGTAGTCCATGTCATCGTCCTCGTCACGGACAATGTCCAGCAGTGTACCATGTTCAGTGTGCAAGACGCGCTACGCTATATCTGCCGAGCGCTGCAGCAAGTGCAACGAAATGCTGCCGGACGCATCCGCCAAGCTCACGCTTTTGCTCAAGCGCGCCAAGGTGGCCAACGCCAACGGCTTCTCGGTCGACGTCTCGATCGAATGTGGTTGCGAGGCGATCTACGCCATGACGGATGCGACGTGCACCGACCCCGATTGCGGCGACGACCTGCCGGACGACGCCGAGAAGCTGCGCATCCTCGCACGTCGCTTGGACATGGCCACGGGCGCCATGTAAGCTGCATCCGAGAGATCCATTTGGCTTTACCGAAGACTAGAACGTTTGTTTCTGCATGTAATCTCCATTTCTTTCGAATACATTTGTCTCGCACTCGCAATTTATGACTTTACGACTCGACCGTCAACGAAAAGACGGATTTCCCACACAATCCCTTTACACTCCGGCTCAAGCCACCAACGAGGGCTATCTTGTCGAGTGCCCCAAAACGACATTTGCAATAGCAGCAGTATATATGTACTATACTAGTACAACTATTGAACAATAGCATAAAGACGCTACGTGATCGGCTGCACCGCGCGCCACTGCTCGAGGAGCGTCGCCATGGTTGCACACGGCGTCGCCAGCACATCAACAGGCGTTCCCAACGCTGCCACGCGTCCGTGCTCCAAGATGAGGACGCGGTCCGACGTCAGGATCGTGTTGAGCCGATGCGTCACTGTGAGCACCGTGCGCTCAGCACACTCGGCCCGCACCGCCTGTCGCAAGCTCTCGATAGGTATCTCGCGACACAAATGACGTACCTCTTGGAGCGCATAGTCCTTTGGCGTCGCCCACGAGACCGCCGCGGGCTCGTCCAGACACACGATCGACGCGTTCTTGAGCCAAATGCGCGCGCAGCAGAGCAGCTGTCGCTCGATGACGGTAAAGTTGCGGCCGCGCGTCGTCACCGGCTCATCCAGTGACGAAACCATACTCACGAGCTGGGCGCGGCGCAGTGCCGCCCAAAGGCGGTCATCGCCAAAGATGCCAAATGGATCCAAGTTGCTGCGCACCGTGCCTAGTATCAATGTATCAACGTATCAGAGACACCATAGGAGATCCGTGGTGGTACCTGAAAAGAGAATCGGGTCTTGGGGAATGTACGCGACTTGGCGCCGGGCATCGTGAAGCCCCATCGATGCAATGTCGACACCATCGATGCGAATGACGCCAGCGTCGAGCTCAAGCAGACGCATCAGCGCCATCACAAGGCTGCTTTTGCCCGACCCCGATGCGCCCACCACGGCGATCTTCTCGTGGGCGACGACGTCGAACGAGAGGTGGGTCAGCGCCGGCGCCTCGTGTGGCTGGTAGCGCACTTCAACATTCTCAAACGTCAGGCGACCGCGCTTCTCACTCTCGAGGCCACGAAGCGAGAGGTCGCTTGTCAGCGGCGCCTCCATCGGGAGGTTGTCATAGCTCTCGAGTCGCTGCAGCGCAGCATGGGAGCCTTGCACTTGAGCTAGGACGCGCAGTGCCCAGTGAAGCGTCGGTGTCAGCTGCAGAGCGTAGTAGAGAGCCATCGCCACTAGCGGCAAGGGCGCCATGCCGGAGGCTTTCGAGTTGACGACAAGGGCAGCAGCCAAGGCACTCAGCGTCGCGCCAAGCCACTCGACCCGGACTGCGAGCCAGTGGTTGGTCGCCGTCACCACCACGTGCACGCGCTGATGCGCATCAAGGAGCGCGTAGTAGTTGGCGCTGCAGTGGCCCTCGATGCGGTAGGCGTGAAGCGACCGAAGACCGAGAAGGCACTCGCGGACGTACGCCGTCATCGCCTCCCGCGTGGCCGCTTCGAGTCGTTGGAGGGCGTTGGCCGACGGCACGTACGCTCGCTGCAGTGCGTAGAGCGCCGCCATTGCTGGAAGGACGGCCAGTGCGAACCACGGCGTCACGAGCATGACAAGACCAACGGTTGTCCCGATAAGCAAAAGCGTGTGCAGTAGCATGTGCATGGTCGACGGCACCTCGAGGTCGACGACGGCGATGTCGGACGCCAGCGTTGCGAGCAGCGCCGAGACGGGTGATGGCTCGAAAAAGCTGAGCGGAGCGCGGAGAAGGTGCCACAGCGAAGTGTGAAAGAGGCGCTGGCTGCCGACGCGACCTCGACGGTACGAGATGGCCGACCGCATGTAGAGCAGACCAATATACAGCGCATGTCCCGTAGCAAAGACGTAGAGACCGAGGAGCGACTCGTCAAAGCCGAGGTACGATGTCGCAAGAACCGTGGTGGCCTGGGCACTCAGATACCAAACGAACGATGTGGCGGCGAGGCCATAGCCGCCACATGCTCGTAGGTACCGCTTGTAGACGCCCGAGTGCTCTTTGAGGCTTGCGACAGCGTCCGTGAGCGTCGGCAACAGCGGCGTTGGGTCGGGCGACACGAAATCTTGTCCTGTTGGCGCGGGTTCAAGTCTCACTGCTGCATCGTCGAGTAGCGTGTGCGACTGCAGTAGGTCGTGGATCGGTCCGTCGTCACAGAGCACGGTTGTGATCGAGCCTTGCTCAACGACGACACCATCCTCGAGCAGCACGACCGAGTCGCAGAGTGGGACAAACGCCAAGGCATTCGTGACCCAGAGGATGCACTTGCGCCGGAGAAGACCGCGGAGGCAGCGACCAAAGATATGGTCGCGTGTCGCAGAGGCCATGGACGCAAAAATGTCATCTAGTAGGTAGACGTCCGCATTTTGGTAGACCGCACGAGCCAGCGCGATGCGCACGTGCAGACTCGGGTCCACCGAAGCCGGAACGCTGTCCATGTTGGTCTCGTCGTGGTCGGGGAAGAGCGCGCTGTTGTCGAGCACGAGCGACGTCAGACCCGTAACGTCCATGACGCACGCGTACCAGGACGCCTCCCACGGCTTGCCAAACAACACGTTCTCCTTGATGCTTGTGTGGCGCAAGAATGGCTTTTGCGCGACGTACGCAAAGGCGCCGCGGGCCATGACGCGGCCCGACGTGCAGTGGACCTCGTTGAGGAGCGCGTTGAGCAGCGTCGACTTGCCACTGTTGTGCGGGCCAAGAATCGCGCAGAGCTCGCCGGCGCGGACGTAGAGGTCGATGCCCCGCATCTGCCAGAGGCCATTCGATGCTGACGAGAACGAGGCTTCGGCCGCGTCTATCGATGGCAGCTGCCAGCTCAAGTCGGCGTCTTCAAAGCGCACTCCAATCGCACTGAGCGTTCCGACCGTGAGCCGTCGTTGGTCGACCTCAACAAGAAAGGCTGTGATGCGATCCAAGCTCGCCGACGCTTCTGAGAGCGTCGAGAACACCTGCGGCAAGAGCGCGATCGGTGTCCGGAGCATCTGGAGAAGCAGCAAGCTCGGAAGGACGGTCGCCAAGTTCAGCGCTGCGCCCGTGAGATAGACGTGGCTCCCCATCACGGCCATTGCCATGAGAAGCGGCGTCGCGTCAAATAGCGTGGTCGAAAGACTGCGGAGCCGGGCGACGAGCGTCAGTTGCTTGAGCTCGGCGTCGCGCAAGGTCGACAGGCGCGCGAGGCAGTGCTCTTCCCACGTCTGCATCTTGACCATCTAGAGATCGCATGACAATAGCTTCCAACAAGCCGATTAATGGACCTTGAGACCGCGCAGTGTCTCGTCGCATGTGTGCTGGCGCGACGATGCAAGCGTGTGCAGCTGGGCGTGCGCGGCCGTGGCTTTGGTCGCGAGGCAGGAGCTGAGCGGCGTCATAATGACAGCAACAGCAATGCCCACAAAGGTAGCGACGCCAACAAACGAGTAGAGCAAGTACGTGGCCATGCAGATCTACATATATCGTAAGAAAAGTTTCAATCTGTCAAAAGAGTATCAACCTGCAGCGTCGCGTACCACAGCGCGTGGAGATACGGCGACGCATCGCGGAGCTTTTGGACGTCGGTCGTGACGAGGCCCACGATCGAAGCAGACGACGTCTGCTGCCGCACCGAGAGCGCGAGGTGCAGCGCCTTGTCGTACGTCATTGCCACGAGCGCACTCTTGACGTACAGGCCAACGTCGGCGCAGTAGCAAAAGTACTGGCGCAGAAATGCCGACTGCGCGAGGCTAACGCCAAAGAGGATACTCACGTACATGTAGCCTTGTGCCATTGGCACGTCCGACGCCATAAAGTGCAGCAGCGCGGCCAAGACCATGGGTGTGACGAACTGGAGCACGTCGGCGAGCAGCTTCATGCAGCCAGCGAGGAAGAAGGGTCGACCAAACGCCTTGAGGAGGCAGAGCCAGACGCGCGGCTGGACGCGACGCTTCTCGGGGCCCCACTGCTGCTTGAAGTGGAGCGCGATAACGTGGGCGCGGCTGGCCGGGTCCAGCGAGCAGAGGTCGTCCATCTCGAGCGGGCGCGCCTGGCCGAGGTAGAGCAATGGCGTGAGCCACGACACCCATAGCGCATGGCGGCTGCCGCCGGCTATGGGCGGCCTCGACGCGCTGGGGCGACGCCCGCCATGCAGCAGCGGCTTGGACTCCATCGTCGCTTCGCCTCGACCGTTGCGATCTTCCACGATCTTTGGTGGCTGGCGACCTGCGAGATTCGATATCATATGCATTGCAGGAGGTTTCGGACACTCCGGCTGGTCATCTGCAAGTTGATCGCAGTGGACCAATACACTGGATGAACTCGAAGGTACCGAGATGATGCACGCCCGTGGCGACACGCAGACCTAGGGCGGGCAACTCTTTTTCGCGGCGCTTGAAGGCCGCCTCGACGACGTCACGAGGTTGTTGGACGACGGTGTCGCCGCCGACTGGACGTGCGCGGTACGCAGATGCGCACACGCTGCGTACTCACCGTGCCATGCTCAGGCGTTGGCTGGCTCCACTGCGCTCTTTGGGGCGAGCCAGAATGGGCACGATGCAGTCGTTTGCGCGCTATTGGCTGCCAACGCCGCCGTGAACCATACCACGCATGTATGTCGTCTTGCACCCAACGGTGTTTTCGATCATGGCGTAGGAGGGCGAAACCACTTTGATGCCGGCTGCGACGCTCGGCCACGATGCCGTCGTATGCACGCTACTCGCAGCTCAAGCGGACGTCAACCAAGCCATGACGGTTTGCATCGCCCTTTTTAGCAGCCATACTGACTGTACTATGTGTAGGATACGTCGACGGCACTGGCGTTTGCTGCGTGCAATGGTCACCGAGCGATTGTCGACATGCTCGTCGCGGCCAATGCCACCGTCGACGCTCAAGTGACGGTCCGACGTTTTTTGTTTCTCGAGTTTTCGCACATTTTGCATCAATAGGCGGGGGCCACCCGCTTGTTTTTGGCAGCCCAGTGCGGGCATGCCGATGTAGTCGCGTCGCTTTTGGCAGCAAATGCGTTCGTCGACCACGCCATCGAGGTATCGTCGTCGTTGTGCATTTTTCTTGAACAAGGTGGGAATAATGTGGCAGAACGGATTCACGCCGCTGATGATCGCCGTCAAAAATGGTCATTTTGCGGTCGTTGAGGCCCTCCTCGCGGCCAATGCCTCTGTCGACCACGCAACGAGCGTACGCTTTTACTAGCGTCGTGTGAGGCTCTCAAAACGATGGCGTAGAAGGGCGAGACGGCGCTGCTCTTTGCAGTCAAATATGGTCTAACTTCGGTGGTCACAGCGCTTTTGAAGGCGCACGCGTGCGTCAACCAAGCCGGCCACGAACTCGTGCGACGTTTCCGAGTGTTGCGATCCTGTCTCTAGAACGATGTTTAGGACCGAGCGACGCCACTCGCCATCGCCTCGGACATCGGTCACCTTCCCATTGTGATGGCGCTCTTGGGCGCCAACGCGGCTGTGGACCAAACCAATTCGGTATTTCACACTTCTGTACGGTGCAAAATGATTTTTGCGATGATGACCTTAGAATGGGACGACACCCCTCTTTCTCGCGGCCCAAAATGGTCATGACGCAGTGGTCGCAGCGCTTCTTGCGGCCAACGCCGCAGTCAACCACGCCAACGACGTATGTTCCCATCGACTGCCCGCTTTTTTTTTAATGTTGACACCAGGATGGCCCGACGGCCCTATTCATCGCGTCTCAGAACGGGCACGGTGCCGTCGTCGCATCGCTCCTTGCAGCACATGCTGCCGTGAACCAAGCCGACAAAGTACGTTCTCCGTGTCCCCGATTTTATCCTTAATTTTTGGCTCGAGGATGGCGCGACGGCCCTTCTTATGGCGTCCCATATTTCTTCCTACACTGAGTAATTACGTCGTAGGCGGGGGCGTCCCCCTTGCTTTTGGCTGCCCAGAACGGACATGCCCAGGTAGTGTCGACGCTCCTGGCGCACAAGGCCAACGTCCACCTCGCCAGCTTTGTACGCATCATCCTCTTGTGTTGTTGTCTGCATTGTGCAACGTAGAATGGAGAGACCGCTCTTGATTTCGCGACGCGCTTCGGCCACGTGCATGTCGCCCGACAACTTGTGAGCGCTGGCGCGTTCGTGAACCAGCGCGCCGACGAGACGCCACCGACAGCGCCGCCTGCCCGACGCCAGCGCCTCGCCAAAACGGCCCGAATCGAAAAGTAGAAGCAACACCTGATGTACTACACACACGACAATACTGACGACGTTACGACCACTCTTACCAGTAAAAGCAAGCAACCCGCAACCATACATCTAGGTCACCGCAGAGTTGAGCCTCGCCAGGACCACCTTTGTGGCGGCACCAGTATGGACCAACCACAGTCGCCATCTCGACGTCCTTCAATCGCAAGATACGTATTTAGAGCTTGCGACGGGCGAGTGTGCCGAGCGCACGGTGCTCACAGTGACCCATCGGCTCAATCCTGACGTCGGACCGCGTCCTTATCTTGGAGCACGGACGTTTGGCCGAAATGGGACCCCTGTCGAAGTTCTGGCGACGCCGTGTGCGACCAGGACGACGCTCCTCGAGCAGTGGCGCGCTGCGTATTTCTCGACAAGGATTCCACAGCATTCATGCACACACGGCCTTAGTTGATAGGATTTGATGATGCTAAAAGCCTTGGAATTACGTGGCAGCGACAAAGTGTGGTGCAGTTATGATCAGCGTTCGTGGGCTGACATTGACGCTCTGGACACTGAAGCTCACGCCGCGTTGGTCGCAAGGTCAAAGCGACGGGCGAGGATGCGCAGCTTCTCAGCGTCGTCCAGAAGCTCCTCGCCGCACTCGGGATCGATACACGTCGGCGCCGTCATGATGTTGGTCGTCTCGCAAATGTCGCAGTCGATGCACAGGTTGATCGAGA